ATACTCGGATAACTACAATAATCTTATTAAACTCCCCAAAATTCTAGAACCTATAATTGATAGGTTAATAAAAACCCTCACAACCAACCCATTAAAAATCTAACCAACTCCCCTTAATATAAAATCGCACTCTCTTTAATATATAAACAAAATCTAAATTAAACTATTAAAATCCAGACTGGCTACTGGGTACAGCCAGAAGCCTACCGGAGCTATTGGCATTACCCCAGGAAGGTATGAAATAGAACTTCAGCGGCCATCGGTGTGAAACAAAGTAGTAGTCAATTAACTTTTAAAATATATTTTTAACTACTTAGGACTTATTTGTGTTATCTAATATATTTATATTAAACTTTAAATCTATATTCCTTTTTAGCCTTATAAACCAGAATTTAGAGTCCAACATTTAACTAATCACCCACTTTAGGATCTAGAGCCCAGCCACACGACCTATAAATTAACCACTCACTTTAGATGATGTGCTGGACAACCACTCTAGATCTAAGGCTAAGGGCCGGTGTTTTACTTTAACTGAGTGTGCCGATTTTTCGTATAGTTTTCACTGCAATGTTTGTGGATTGAGAATAAACTTTGCTGTGTTTGTTTACTTTTATACTGCACTCTGTGGATGATTGATGGTGTTGGCGACTAGATTACCCTTAGTTAGGTACGAGATCTGGATGTTCACGACAATTTTTCTGCAGGTGGCACAACGAGAGCTCATAAGAGGCAGGGCAACAAAAGGGCTAAATCATTATTATAAATGTTTTGCACATGTTGTTTCAGCTGTTAGAGCCCCCAAATAAAAAGAGCGTGGCCAGTGTGTTTATTTCTTTCTGATATATATAATGGTTAGAGAATAACTGTTTTATTATTTAATAACTGCTTAGGATAACTTGCAGGAGAGTAAATTTGATTTTATATAAATGTAATTATTTGATGTAATTGTATAGTGTTGTGAAAGTTAGATTTTGAGTGGGATACACAGGTCCAAAGCTTGGACTCCGATGAGAAAAGGATGCCCCGCTTAGGGGAGTAGACCTTTCTATTTAAGATGCCAAATTGGCCACACTTCTTTCCCTACCCAAAAAGGGGAAAGAGTGGCCTTTCTCCTTAAAGGAAGTCCCTATTGATCCATTTGGGTAGTCCACTACAAAGAATCCAAAGGAGCCTTGGTAAGAAGGAGCCCAAAGAAGAAGCAAGATTGAAGACTTGAAGATTGAGATATCCCGACCTCAAACTACTTGCGTATTACAATGAGAGTAAATTAGAATCCGGGTTGTTGTCAGTTGGTGCCTGGCCACTTTACATTCTGCAAAAAATTGCTGGTTTGTAATAAGCAAGGCAACTTTTATCTATAGACATTTATTGATTAAATTAATAAATTTGATGTGAAGAATTTGATTGCCTTTGGACTGGCTTGCTTTTTCTTGTTTTTTTGGCGATTGTAGTGCCCTTTTTGTTTTCGCACACTGGAATAACGTGAGGCTCGTGAGGGTATGAACAGTTTTATACTCATAACTTTAAAAGTCTAATTTTAGTGAGTCTAAAATAATAACACTCGAAAAATAAACGAATTCTAGAGAATAGCCGGATCGACCCCGGGGTCGCATGCATATTTCTGCCATACTCTTTTCCTTGCTTTAGAACACTCGCCGCGGTAGAGTCCGGAATAGTCTGATCTATGAGGACGAGGTGCCGGACTTGGGGAAGTCCAGTCTTCTAAAAAATTAATTTTCTAAGTCTGTTTTTAAATTTTAAGCATATTTGATTTGAGGTTGTTAACTAGGATGCATTGCATTAGAAATAAATTAAAGATCTTTTATCTTTTGTCAAAATTTTAATTTCATAGTCCTTAGCATTTTTGGCACGCCAACATAAGTCAAAGGGCCAATTAGGAAGAATCTCATTGTCGGCCGCACCGGCTCTCCAAAACTTTAAAAATACACGTCCCTACCACTCTTCATAAAAGACCGGACTCATCTCTTTTAAATCGATTAGGTGGTTAGGGCTGGCTCCCCAATCCAGGCCCAAGCGTAAAGTCCAAAGACCTTGCACTGCATTAAGTAGGATGCGAACGACTGTGGTCCAGTGTCCAAATAAGATTTAGGATGCCGGGGCAAATCTTTGATTATAAACCGAACTTTGTGGAATATAATATCAAATTTTCTAATATAATGTCTCAACTTATAATTAAATATAACATTATACCACCAAAAACAATAAGCCCACCTTAGATTATACAGGATTAGGACACTTCCCGGATGTTTCGCGGAACTCAGTGTCCCCTTAACTCTCCTCACTTTAACTCCGTTAATAACTGCTCAATTTTGATACCATTCCCCTGTTGATTTTTCATTCCTCTCTTTTTGAGATATTACTCCTAGAAGATCTAACGAAATTCTGCACCATTTTTAATCGAAGAGTTTTCGTAAGGAGATTCTATCTACCTACGATGTAATTAACATAACGAGGAGAACTTGCGCTCGGTAGGAAGATAATTTGACCACACACGCACCTGATTTAAAATTAATTTCTGTTTCTAAAAACTTTTAAATTATTTTAGGAAAAAAGTCAAAAAATGATCGTTAGTATTACAATTAGAAGAATTATCATTGAATGGTGTCATCCTGTGGCCTATGAGATATATCCTTCTTTGATAAGGCTTTGGATGTGAATTCGACGATCTACCTCTTGAATATAAGTAATCAGATATATGTTAGTTTGACTTCATTCTGTATAACCCTACGAGAGGCCATAAAAGTTTCTTTTTAGAGATCCGGTCATGGTATTCAAGATGAGTTTCATAATTCTAAGTCATGAACATTCGTTATACAAATTTTATTTTCGTCTTTTGGGATGATATATCTTTTTCTAACGAGTTTGATCGAAAAAAAACTTCAGAATTAGATTAAATCTAATTTTAAGATTCCCAAAGAAAACTAATATTTTTTTTTTAAATATGTTTTTATCAATTACACCAAAAACATGTGGTTAGTAATCACTTCAACTTGAGAGTTTTCAAAGACAACAGCCAAATCCTTTAGGTTGATATGGTTTCTGGTTGTGTACAGCCTTTCAAATATAGAGATCAGCTCCTGCGAGGATTTTTGGTGTAGCAGTCTCCATGACGCTGGCAGATACATTGCGGCATTAAGAGGTTTCCAGCAGGTCCGGAGCCTCCAATAAGAAGCCCTTCATATTCCATGCCAATTCAATAGAGAATGCGATGCAGCATTGCGGTAGATGCTGCAGGGAATTAAAGTAGCACACCAAATAGATGGTGGCTCTAGTGTTTCCTAGTTTATTATGATCGATAATCCTGCCAACTTTGTTACTGAGTACGATGTCCTAGGGCTAGAGCAGTAAAATAAAGTGTTCTGGCAGATCTACTGACATAAATAAAAAGGCAAAGGATTAGTAATCAGCGTCTGAATAGCCTACTCCCACTTTCAAAATGGAGAGATTGCAACCATAACAAAATAAAATAATACCAAGGCAAGTAATTAAATATAAATTTAAAAACCTGCTTATAAAATTTTATGATTTATGAATGATGCATAATTTTAAGAATATTTAGAATATCTGGTTTTGTTAAATGAAATCATTATAATAAATTTGGAATTTATAACTCATTTGATTTATTGGATACTATAGGCACCAGTTAGTATGATTTAGTCAAAGAATGAAAAAATCTAAACCACCAGCGGAGTCGCCAGAAATTTATGGCTGCGTGAATTGCTCTCGAGATCAGAAGGCCACTCTTATAAGCCTAAAATGGCTAAAACCTCGGATGCAAAAAGGGGTGAAATATACTCCACGTCCTCTCTCAGGACAAATAAGGGAAAATAAGTGGTTATAACGTAGATAAAGGAAAATAGTCGATGCATAAGGAAGATAAACCAAAATAGGCCTACAACTCTAATTCCCAACTGAAGCTGATACTCGGGGGCTTATAATGTAGACAAAGGCTTCTCTTGTGTTGTAAGAATATATTTCAAAATCCCTCGAATTGAGAAGATATATTTGAAGAATGCCATTAGATCAGGAAAATAAAAAGAAGATATGGTGATATTTCTTTGGTGTTGTAGTTGTGGTTTCCATATCACTGCAGGCTGTTGTGATTTCTTGCGGGATTTCATGATGGTTAGCATGTTGCTTCAATTAGGTTTGGCGATTTTAAATTAAATTAAGAATAAATTTTTTATTCTATGTCAACCTTATCTATTATCCTTACTAAGAGTTATAAATGTTGTTCTGAGGAATGTAATTGACAAATATTGGCTTGAATAAAAAATTTCTCTGTTGGTTTTCAAGAGTATGAGTGCTAGTTCGATGTGTGATTCTTTTTAAGTGCGGTGAAAGTGTAACTATTTGATTTCGAGAAGTCATCTCTTTGTACTGGCATGCGGCATAATTTTATTCTTGGTTCTTGTTCTTGAGTTTGGTCAAAAAGCTATACTTTGAAACTTTGCTTCTGGGAAAATTAGGTTGCATTTGGGACGGTTTTCTTACTGCTTTCGAAAGCAACTTTTTTAGTACAATTTTTTTTTTTTAAACTAAAAAAAATTGTACTAAAAAGCAGCTTCAGAAAGTAGTAAGAAAGCTGTCCCAAATGAAGTCTTAATATGTTTGGTTGCTGTTTTTGGATATTTAGCAACATTTCATTTTTAATTGGGCTTAAACTCTACTATTGATTGTTTTTCACCTAAAGAAAGTTGATATAATTGATACTTTCCGTTGCATTAAAGCATACACATCGTAGCAGTAACATCAAGAAACCTAATCCTGAATGTCCTGCATCACAAAACCTGCTCATGATATTTTTTTATTAAATTTATTGCTTCGAGTGCAGCTTATTTTATGTATTTTCAATAACACATCTAGGCAATCTGAAGTTTGCGTTTGTTGGACTTTTTTTTTACTCAGAGATGATCAATTTAACCATTTTATTCTTCAGTATCTATATCTGCCACTGATTTAGCTTTGTCTCTTGTTAGGCATCTTTTGAAGCAAAACCTCTCGGGAACTTTGGTGCCAGAGCTTGGTCTTCTATCTCATCTTCAGATACTGTAAGTTTGAACATGTTAGATTTGGAGATTTAACAATATGAGTGTGTGTGGAAAAAATCTTTTAATTTCTTTTCTTTGTCTTAAAATGCTATTAATATTTTAATTTTTAATTCTAACCCACAGATTCCTTAGCCGTAATATCGATCATAACTTTGTAAGGCTTCCATTCTGATTGAATCTTCCATTTCTAAAGGGATTTTATGCGGAACAAGATCAATGGAACCATTCCAAAGGAGATCGGCAATATTACATCCCTTAAACTTCTGTAAGTTAAGCTAATTTTTGGCATATTTCATATTTTAGACTTCGTTTGGTTATCCGGTATTTTTGTAAAATGTAGTTTTACAAAACACCGGTTTAGAGAAGAGTTTTCTAAACGGAGAAGCATATATAAAAAGCTTTCTTAAAACAACAGAAATATGAAAAAAAAAATGTTATTGAGAACGTGGGTTTGAGGAACCAAATAGTAAACCGTTTTTAAAAATGAATAAGCACAAAAATTGTCCAATCAAATTAGGCTTTACACTTCTGTAAGTTAAAGCTTGTATGAAGATATTATTTTAGAATTCCATTATCTTAATTTGACATTTGCGAAGTGGATAATTTCTTCTGATTACATTGTTTTGATATTGATAATTATTTTCTTTTATTTTAAACATTTTCTTTAAATACTCTACAGACTTTTAAGTGGTAATGAGCTATCTGGTACGTTACCTGAGGAGATTGGCTATCTTGTCAACTTAAATAGGCTGCAAATTGACGAGAACCAGATATCAGGGCTAATACCAAAATCATTTGCTAATCTGAACAGTGTAAAGCATCTGTGAGTAGAGTTTACATTCACTTCGATGACTGATCTTTAAATGATGTATTTAATTTATCAGTTAATGCTGTTCTTTTATGCAGCCACATGAATAATAACTCATTAAGTGGACAAATTCCATCAGAATTATCTAGACTGCCCCGTCTCCTTCACCTGTAACTGCATTACTGGTTCTTGTTCTAAGTGTTCGATATTCTAACTGATTAGCCATGTTTGGCACTTTTAACTTGAGTTAATAAACTTTTGCAGCCTCGTTGATAACAATAACTTGTCTGGGTACCTTCCTCCAGAATTTTCCATGTTGCCGCATTTGAAAATCCTGTATGTAAATTTTACTGCAGTTCTTTCATGAAATGCCTTTTTAAATTTTGACTAATACTTTGTTTGGGATGCTTTTTTAATGCTTCTTAAAGCAATTTTTTTATATAAAAATTTTAATTGTTGCACTAAAAAGCTGCTTTAAAAAGCATTAAGTAATGTATCATTTTTCTCTTGCTTGTCTATTCAGTAAGATTCTGAGTCTTGTCTTCAATATTTTGTCTGTCATACTGTTGGTTTTTTCTTATATTTTGGAACAAATAATTATTTGTTTGGCATAACGGTGTAATCATCATAGCTTTTTAGTTAGTTTATGCTGTTTCCTTAATTTCGTTTAAAACTTGACGAATTGTTCATTATTTTGGAGGTCTTTGTAATATCTCGTTGAGGGGTACAGATTCAATGTCTTTAAAACATGAAAGGCTAATTTGAACTATTTCCTCTTTTTAATTTGTCATTTTTATAGTTGCTTTATCAACTATTGCTTTTAACCACGGTACGACAATTTGAAGGGTGATTATTCCATTGTTTTCTCTCATTGATGATGGTCTTAATATTAAGAGTCATCTACCTGTTTTGCAGTCAACTTGACAATAACAACTTCAACGGCAGCACAATTCCAGCTTCTTATGGTAACATGAATACACTTCTAAAATTGTAAGTTCATTTTCTCTTTTGAATGTAGGTTAGCATTTATGGCTATCAGTTCATGAGAAATGTTAGAAATGGAAGTAAATACATTGTGCTAAGGTTCAAGTTTCTTAAGAATATCTGAAAGTTTTTTATATAGTTAGTTGTTTGCTTGACCTATTAATTTTAATTTTTTAGATAATGATTGTATTTAGCTTGCTTTCACTCATCTACCTGTATTTAGCTTTAAATATAGCTTGTTTTCTTAAGAATTTTGATACAAGATAGTGGTGGGGTGCCACCAAAGGTTTTGCCTATGATGGTTGCTTTTAGGAATTCAATTGATGGGCATTATAGGACTTAAAAATAGTTAAAGTTGGAAGATAAATGCCTTAAGAATAATTTTGGAGATTTTTACTAAATTTTAAAGGGTTTTTGATTGGTCAAATAGCCTAATTTTGGCCGATAGCTCCACGAGGAGTTTTGGATGGAAATTTGTAAGAATGTAGGGAAATAGATGTAGGATGGTGTGGGGATTATTATAAAAATATTTCAAAATAAAATAAAATCTTTAAATAAAAGTAATATAAGCTTTGTCACTAACCAAAGTAGGAAGGTTCAAGAGATCACTAAACTTCTTCATGTGAGGGCTAACCATCCAGCCTGCCTCTTCTTCTTGGATAGAAAGCCAATTTTTGTAAACGGAAGAACAACCTTTGTTCATTTTTCATTCCATCTAGAAATTGAAATAAAATCAAATAAAATACACCATTTAGAAAATTATAACCACATATTTCAATGAACTACTTCGGAATTAATCTTATTTTCATTTTATGAACACAAATTAATTTCAATTCAATTCCTACAAGATTTCAAAAATGAGATTCAAATTTTCAAAATATTGAATTTCACAATTTTACATTACAATTACAACCACAATCTAAAAGCAACAAATATGTAGTATATTTCGTCAATTAAAATACACAAACTAGAAATTGCTACGTGATGCACAAACATTAAAATAAAATTCTACATAGTAGCTTTCATTTTGCTTGTTGTTTTAGGTCGTTGAATTTTCTTCTTGGATGTATGCCACATCAAATGGTTAGAGTGATGATAGGAGACTTGGGCTTTGTTTGAGACGGCTTCTTTATTGCTTATTTAATCAGCTTTTTAGTACACAAATTTTATAGTAGTAAAAAAACAATCAGCATCATTTGGGATAGCTTTTTTAATGCTTTATATGGCAGCTTTTAGTACAAAAAATTTTCAAATTAGGATTTTTTATACTAGAAAGCTGTTTTAAAAAACAATAAGAAAATTGTCACAAACGAAGCTTTAATTGCAATGCGGAAGAAATGAAAGTGGTAAGATGAATATGTGATGAAATTTAAAAAATGAGGAGGAAAATGATTGTATTAGAGTGAGAGAGTGGCACCCATTAATAGTATAATTTGAAATATACTTGAATGTTTTGGTTATATGTCGGAGGGGGGCAAAATATGCATTATAAGTGGATTAGATAGAATTCATGTTAAATTAATAGGAAGGAGCTAACAATACTAATGGCAAAACAACTTAAAGTTTTACAAAAAAAGTGATTGGAATAGAGAGAGTAACTCCTCATGTAATACTTAAAAAGATAATTTTACAAAGGCCTGGTGATGATCATTTAGTCGGTTGATGGCACATGATTGTATATATATATATAATTTTATTTAACATTTTGTATTCAAGGAATATTTGGATTACTTTTTTTCTTTTATTTTGCAATTTATTTTCCACTTATTTGTTATTACTTTATTTGTTTATAATTTTAGAATCTCCTTCCATATAAATAGGGACTGATAGGATTTAGGAGTGTCAATTCGGGTCGGCGGGTCGGGTTCGGGTCAAACCCGAAACTGACCCGGCACTGTTTGGGTCAACCCAAACCCGACCCGGTTTTAAAAACGGGTCAGGTTTCCGGACCCGAACCCGACCCGATTCGGGTCTGGGTCAATCCTTACCTAGCAGTAAAGCTCCAGGGCGAGCTGCTCAACATGCAGCAAGAAAACAATAAAGTTACGAAGGAGTTGCAAACTGGTTTGGATCATGTGAAAGCAATTCAATCCGAGGTTGTCAAGGCTCTATCAAAATTGAGGAAGAGCTTCAATCTCTCGGGTTCCAAGGGGAACCAAAAAAACCAAAACACTAGGCACTGGAGCGCAAAATCTAAGGTTCCATTGAGAACTCTTTTGTTCGGCGAAAAGCGAAAGAAACAATCCTTCTTCTCATGCATGATCCCAGCACCCAACAGGCATCATGACCACAAGAAGTCTGGGTCTACTACTTGATGATAAGCAGAGGTGGATTGGTGGTAATGGTTTGGGGTCTATTTTGTTCTTCCAACTGTTTTTGTAGCGTTGAGAGGATGCAGTTACTCCTTTGTACTCTAAGCTGATTGGTCTAACTAGGCAACTACTATAAAAACCCAAATTGATGGAAAAGATATAACCAAAGCTTAATAGAAACTATATCGACTATTAAGCTTTTAAAAAGTTACAATCGAGCTTGGCTTCAGCTTTAACTATATCAACCAAGACAAGGAAGGCTTCATAATGATTACATTTAACTTGGTTATACTTAAATGAGGCCAAATTGGTTAATAATTTTCATAAACATGAGAGAAATCAGGCTCAAATTTTGAACTACTTTTTCAAATAATTTTCAGAAAAGTTCTTAACATCTTTTGTATGAGAATGAAACACGACCAATCAAGACCTCTCATCTCAATTATGAGAGAACTATCAACAATTTATCATTGCGGTTACCACTAAGTTCTTAACCTTAATCTTGTGCCCAGGTCTCTACTCATGGAAACAAAGGAAAATTCAAGTATGAAAAGTTTGAGCATGACAAATCTGGTATCATTTTTGACGGAAGTGGACAGAAGGGATTCCTGCGCTTGCTGACTTCACTGGCTATGTGATGTAGGTCAAAATGCTTGATTAAATATGTAATATTGAAAATACACGCCTTCTGAATTAAAGCAATGATTAATTATATTTACTTTTTGATACATCCACAAAAAATTATCTTGAACGGGCACGAATCTCGAGACAAAATCAAGTTGGAAACTTCAAAAATTAATTCACGCATATATATATATATATATGATGTATCATCAAAAAATTATCTTGATCAAGCACAAATCTCGAGGCAAAATCGAGCCGGAAACTTTAAAAATTAAATTTGGGATCATTTGAACTTCGATTTCAGTGAACTTGCAGTCAAACTAAGCGTCTCAAAAATACGAATCAACGACACCAAATTTGACTTAACCGGAGCCCAATTATAGTCAAATCGAGCGACTCGATGAGACGAATCCAACGAGCCTAAGATCGCCGAATTCCGACATCATTAAGACCTTAAAATGTCTGACGAACGGTCCATGATCAAGGGATTCAATATCGGCCATCCATCCAACCACTCCCCATTTACCCTTGATCTCTCACCTATTTACGGGCCATGCCACTCCAGAAATC